CATTTATACGAAAGCTTCATTATCGATCCAATAAATGAATATTGCATTGATTTTAAAAACATGATGCAAGGTTTTTGAAAAAAGATGTTGATTTCCTTAAGGAATTACCAGTGGTCACCCTCAGCATTTATGCGGAGGATATAATATTAACTTCTTGGTAAATGAACATTGTCTTGTTTTGAAATCAAGATGCAATCCAACAACCATTTATGAACCTAGTTATACTAAATGGTTAATTAAGGTTTTCCTCTAACCTAAAGTGTGAAATTATGTAACTTAAACAACCTAGAGGACTAAATCTAGAAATGAGGAAACTAATATTTAAACTTAATTAATTTTAATCAATTATTGGGTTGAATAATCAAAATGGGCCCGAGCATTAAGGCGGGGAACAAATCAAACATTCCCTAAATTAAATGTCTAAAATAAAATTAAACTTAAAATAAAGGCTCTAATTAATGACCCTAATTAATTATATCAATTAAATGATCAATTTGAACCCTCATTCATTAATGCGAGAACCAAATTGAATTACTCGCTTAATTAAGAAGTTCAAGAACTAAAGTGTGAAAAAATCTAAATTAAGAGGAATCTAAACGTAAAAGGTTCAATCTAAAATTAGACTGAATTGAACGGAATTGAAATTATGATTAAAAAGGAATTAAGGGATCAAAATGTAAATGCAAGGAATTTAAAGACAAGAATTAAAATAACAGGCTAAAAGGGTTAAAGTATAAATAACATAAAAATAGAGATCGAATGAAATTGGAAATTAATAGTTAATGAATTAGAAATGAACAAATAAATATACAAGGATAACATGCAAAAAATAAAAAAACAGAGGTCAACTATGTAGTAATTTCCATGAATTCTACTTTTTATATGTTTCTGTTATTGGAATTTATGAAGGCTTAGAACCGGGCTTGCTATCGTGGACTTCTGTGTAATATTCTCTTCACTTTTAAATTTAGTCGGGTCTTACGTTTCTGTCTATATGCAGAGATTTTTTCGCAGGGATTTATTTGCAGGGATTACTTCTCATTTCAAACGCGCATATAATATTAATGATATTTATGACTGCATATGAATATTGTTCAACTATGTATTTATGTATTTATTTATACACGCTTTGCATTTTATCTATATTTTTAATTTTCTGACTGCCGGAGGTCTTCCACGGAAGCTACTCTCAACCTGGCGTTGGGGGCAGCCTACTACCCTACCTCCCCCTTACCCCATTGCATATGGGAATTAAAAAAGGCAGAAACATGACCAAAATTGAAATAAGAAAAATAACGCATCAAATTTGCAAAAGAAAAAACGTAGACAGAGACTAATTTGTAAAAATAGCGCAAATAAGGGAACTAAAATCTAATTTATCCTTTTTATAGCATAGCTGATTAATAACAAAAGAATATGGGAAAATAGCCCTAACGGTACACATACATTTGAAATTAAATAAAAGACGCAACATGGGGTGACTAAAATATAAAACTTCGGTGGAAGTGCGATGGCTTTTGTGCAATTAACTCTAATATATATACTATGTTTAGCCTTTTTGGTATTTCCTAACTCTAAACCTAAAAAACAGCCGCCCCTCTTCTTCTCTACTCTCTTAAAAACCCCACGCCATCTCTCTCAACTCTCAACTCTCAACTCTCAACTCTCCTTTTTGGTTTTTTTAATACGTGATATATGGATTTTATATATATATTAATAAATCAGATAATATAAAATTTAAAATAATTTAATTTTAATTAAAATTCTATAATATATATTATTATTTTTAATAATATATAAAATTTAATTATATATATCATATTACTGTCATTCTTAAAAAAAAATCAGATAACCAAATTCTTTGTTACATTCAAAGCTACAAAAATTTCCAAAAAAAAAAATTAGAATATTCGTTGAATATTGTTTTGTATTATAATATCCAGAAACAAAATGGAACCGTTAACCCAAAAAGGCACGCTAGTCAACTGTCAAGCTGCTATCCACAATGGAGCGCTGAGATGGCAATATTTCATTGGCTTTCGGAACGGAACAAAAAGATAGTTAAACAGTAGAGAACCAACGCCCTCTATTTGTTTTACAGAACAGAATATGTATCTTATTTTTATCTCCTTTTCTTCCACCTCCCTCTGTAATCTTCTCACATCGCTTATTGAATCCTTAGTCCAGAAAAGAAAAGAAAACGATGATGGTTGCTTGATCTTTCCTTGGATCCCAGCAAGTGTTTTGTTTTTCTCCCCCAAGAAACTCGATTTTATCATTAAAAAGAGTGTTTGATTCTTGGCTGAAAACCAAAAAAGAAAAACACAATGACTGAAGTTCTCCAATCATCCTCTTCTCACTTCTCTTCACCTTCAAGCCCCACCGCAACGCAACACCTCCGTCAGCATGGTTGCCCAAGAAAACGTCCAAGAAGATGGGGAGCGGAAAGCAAAGGACAAAGAAGGACCCCAACACATGCCTTTAATAAATTGATTATTGTATCTTAGAAGTTATTTCAACCTTATCGGTGTAATTGTAACATGAGCATCGCTTCTAAGATTAAGACAAAAAATTTCAAATTTGTACGTTGGAAAGTGTAACTCAAATGAATTACTCTTTAAAGAAGAGAACTATGAAAGGGAGGAACAAATGATTTTGAGGTGTGAAATAATAAGCTTTTTATAAGAGAATCGAGAAGAATAAAATGGAGGGAATTTTCAAATAATCAATAATTGAGAGAGATTTTGACAATACAAAACACATTATAATCCAAAATCAATAATAACAACACACGTGTGAGCATTACTTTAACCATTTAATAAGAGTGGGTTTAAAAGAGCAAAACACTCCAAGAAGTCTCTGTTGGTAGGACCTTACAAAAACAAAAAATGAATTCAAATAATAGACATTTTAATGTAAATATTTGCATCCATCTCAATTTTTTTGTTGGTAGTAATTAAAATATTAAAATTTGAAATGAACATAAGTTGTAGTATGTTGCTGTTTCAGGCTGTTAGACGCAGATGATCCGCTATCCTCCTCCACCCATAACTAGGCTTGTAAACGAACATGAACGGGTGTTTGTTCGTTTAACTTTAACTGAACAAATGAACGAACATGAATATAAACGAACATGAATATAAACGAACAAAAAAATCTTTTTTGTGTTCGTTCATTCAGGAATGTAGCTTGTTCATGTTCGTTCATTTAAATGACAAATGAACACAAACGATCGGATATAAACGAACATAAACGAATGTAAACAAACATTAATGAACAAAACAAACGAACGTAAATAAACATAAACCACAACAAAAATAATCACATAAAATTCATAAGTTGCAACTTCATAGTTAATTTGTTCGAGTACGACAAAAACATTCATATATAGTAAATAAGCTACATGAAAATAATAAAGTAAAAGTCTTAAAATGTTCAACAAAACGATCTTCTTAAAATTCAAACATCTTCAACTTGCATTCATGAACAATCGTCAATTCATCATTCATCCTAATTAGAACCAAGATAGCGTGAGGTTGAGTGATAAGATTGAGATTTGAAACTAAATTCTTTTTTCTTTCCTAAAAAATTTTAAGATTATATTTTATTTAATTGTTTTGGGCTTTTTTATTTGTGTATAAATTAATTGAATTTTAAAATATTAATGGATATCAGATTAAAATTTATTGGGCTTATAAATGTGTCTAGAAAAATTAGGCTAAACATAAATGAATGAACATAAACATACATAAACGAATGAACATAAATGAACGAACATATTACCGAACGTTCATGAATGTAAATGAACGAATTGACCCTCTGTTCGTGTTCATTCATTTAAAATGAACACAAAATCTTATTCATATTCGTCCATTTAATAAATAAACGAACTTCCCACCGAACAGTTCATGAAAGGTTCGCTTAACTTTCGATTCGTTTACAAGCCTACCCATAACATTTAATTAAGATTGTAAGTGGGTCAGCAATTTGTGACTCCCCTTCTTCATTTATGGCTTCAAACAGCTTGGATTGCGTCCTTCCTGGAGGAGCGCATCCATTCCATACCAAACAACTAATCTTCCACTTCTTTTCTTCATCGGGTTTTCCTTTGCAAAACTACATGAACCCATAGAAAAGCCAGCAACTATTCACTAATTCTTCACCAAGCTTATCATTCCATCTACCCTCAACTCCTGAAACATTCTCAACCTCTTCGGTTTTCTTTCCTTTGTCATCCATCTCCGATGACGATGACGACCGCTCTTCTATCACCTTTTCAGTCTCTTTTTTGGGTTTTTTTCCGTTCTCCAATGATTGTAATGGCCGCTTCGGTCGATATCTATAGCTTCCCTTCACCTTTTCCAACACTTGGTTTGGTTTCTTTTCTCTGTTATTGATCTCCTTTCTGGAATCCGATGATTTAGATTCGTATAGAAGTCCAAAACACAATCAAAATCGTCCCTAAAAGCTGCAAAGGCATCAGCTATCTTGGGTTTCAACAGTGCGAAATACTAATCGGAACTGGTTTTCTTCATGACTTTTTGGCAAATCTGTAATGCTTTAACCATATGATCCTTGGTTTCGTAAGAATTAAGACTAGTACTTTTAATTTATCAAAATAACGTCTTATAAGCTTGCTTAAACCACAAGTTAACATACCTGCTGGCTGCTGCATAAAGTAACACATTGAATAAAAAGAAGCAAGTTTAAAAATAATACTATAGGATATACTATTTTTTCACTTGAAAAAGAAATTCAACCTATTCAAACTTGGCTCATAAACCCTTATCCCACTTCATAAACCCATATCTTACAAATTATCCTGAGGAACATCATGGGGTAGTCATGATTTATCATGAAAAATCTAGGTTAAAAAAAACACCATACAAGTTTTTATACAGAGCTACTGCATTCTTTATTACCTAAAAGATTAAGAATCTAAATCACATATGATCAACAACGCTGTATTTAAATAAATTTACATAGACAAGACATACATATTGAAATAAAAAAGTAAATTAAAATTAACTGAATTCTCAAAGAAGCATTAAGATGTGCTTCCATGAATGCACAGTAGAGTCAATGGTGTTCTACAAAACATGGTTATTCACTGTAATACATGATCAACTCATCCATAAGCAATTATTCCATATAGCAAGCATCAATAGCAATTCCATGGATGCTGCAAAATATATGAGGACATAAGTTGTAAAAGCTTGACACATACTTACTACTACTATTCTCAGATGAATGACACATCCCGAGGTGGTTCGATCCATATGTTCTCAAACGGATCTTGCCCTCCCCAGTCATAGCACTGTTTACGGGGATAATATCTACCGTCATCAAGCGAGTATGATATGCATCGCTTTCCAAAGAAACGGACTTTAGAGAAGTAGACAATATTCCTCATTGTTCCTGAGAGATCGGTTCTTGAATGAGATGACAAGAAACTAGCAAACAGAGTCATACCGTTGAGGGTTTGCATTTCTTCCCAAACCATTTCTGATTGATCTAGTTTAAATATAATGGGGTTCTCAGTACAACAAGTATAGATAACTAAGATATCACCATTGTGCTCTGCCATAAATTTTCCCTTCCACCAATTTTTTGCAAAAAAGTTCTCGGGGCATCTCGGAGGAGGCACATGAAGAACATCCCAAGTACGCTCCATTGGGTCATAAACCCCTAACCAACCAGTGAGGCTAAGACAATAAAACATTCCACTGCTGAATACAATTTTGTTCCAAATGCTACAAACAAACGGCAACCGATTCTGGTGATTAACAGTAGTCCACTCAGATGTCCCAGGATGGCATGTGCTAATAGCGACAACAGTAGGACTGATGTGCTTAATTGTAAAAATCACACAGCTGGAAGATGTTGGGGCACATGAGAAGGCAACCGTCTGATATGTCAACTCAAATCTGGGAAGCTTAATCATCTCCCGAGTGAAGGGATTAAAGAAGAACACACAATGATTTCTGGGTCGGTATAGCAACAACCAACCATCTTTAGTGTAACAAGCCCTGGATCCATGCAATTCTGATAGCTCGAGGGAGTAAGTTTTACGCACTGATGGATCATAGAACTCATACAAGTTACCATATTTTGGAAAGTACATGAGCCACGGTGATTGGTTAATCACTCGAACAGAAATTGCAACCTTATTCCACCTCTTGCATACAGCAGAAGCCCGGACATTGTCTTCTAGTGTTAGGTAGGACATGATCAATTCCAAAAGTTCCCCAGGAAGATCAGACCATGTTTGTAGCTTCAAACTCTCCTCATCCTCAATTGGTTTTCTTTCATCCGCATTTATTGTTTCAGCTAACCTGTACAGATGAAAGGATTATTAATATTCAAACGCCATTATCAGCATTAAATTCTAAAAAGAAGTGCTAAAATGGTGGCATAGAAACCCAAAAAGACCCTAAATTGCTCGAGCATGCCTACGCTTAAAATGCTTTATACAAAAAATTCAAAATTCAAAGCTTATTGTTTCTTAAACATACAACCGATCAACTTTGTTTAAATAGAACATATTTATCTTCCATTCGTTACAGACTGTATGCTAAAATGGTACACCCATAAAAGGTACTTATTTGATTTAACCATAGGACACCTCCCAGGTCCCAACCGCAGGTGGAAAATTCAAGCCCACAATACAGTTATGACAGAAACAACAAACACCAGTTGCCCTCGGTGCACAAGGAGTCACTGTACAAAAAAAAGCAAAAAGCTTCATATTCCCAATCCAATCTGACATTGCCTACCATTTAAGTCATATTTCTATTTAAAAAAGTCATTTTGGTAGGTTAGCCTAAAACAAAATTAGCAAATAACAAATGAACCATGATAAAAAAAAAATTCTTTATAACCTTTTCTTTGAGAAGTAGGATCTCTATTCAAATAACACAGAAAATCAATTGTAACACAGAGAAGTAAGATCTCCCGTATATTTGACTATTTCAAATAACACAAAGATTGAAACCCAATTCAGAATCCTATATAAAACAAAATCAATTCCATTACGATTTCATGAAATTGAATTAATCTTAGTTAGAAGAACTTTGATACTTTATGGAATCCTCAATGAAAAACTAAGATTCTTGGATAGCTGCCTATTGATAGTACAAAAATCCACTAAACAAAGTCTCAAATGGTAAAAGAACTTTAAAGTTAGTACTTCATTTACAGTATTCAATTCGGAACTTGTGGTAACAATTCAAAGACCCTTCTTTAACAGACCTTTGGAACCCTTAACCTTGCGGTTCAAAAGACCCTACAAAAATTCAGTTCGGTGATCGAATCAAACTGAAGTCACGGTAGAACTGAAATACCTCAATATTGCATTCAATTCAACAAAATATCCAAATTTTAAGCAGAAACTGCCTAGCATCAATAATCACAATGATATGTATGATTGATTGATACTTGACGAAAAGCCACAAATTAATCTAAATCCTAAAATCCAAAATTATTCCCAACATAGGAATAGTAAAAAAAAATCCAAATCATCCCAGCTCAATAGTTTCAGATTTGGCCGAATTTTGCATAATTCAACAAGTGAATAACACATTTTATCTCTTATCAAGCACTCAGAAGGCTCTAATTCCTAAAACCCAAATGACATTTCAATGAAACCCTAGCCTAACGATTAAAAGTTTTAATTTTTTTATCAGAAGGAAACGCTAACGCTATCACCATGGTTACTCAAACAAAACCCAAAAAGAAAATACTTACAATTTAATCTTTCTTTTCTTCCTCCCAGCCATAAGCAGCCGAAAAAGACTCAAGTTTTAACCGCTTAATCCCCCAAGGAATTGATGTGTGAGAGAAAAAGAAGCAGAGAGAAATGTAAGTAAGCTCAAAGGGGGAGTGGGGAAAATGTGTTGGGGGAAGAATCAGGTGTAGCTGATTTCTTAGTAATAATGAAAAGCGACAATCAAGTGGCTGCCACGTCATCTGATTAGTATTATATTGAGTTTTCTTAGATGAGGTGGCGTGTGTTTATTGGTTAGTTTGATGAGAAAAAGGAGAGTGGAAGGTGTGTGGAGTATTATGGTAAAGAGGAAGTGACGGCAAAAGGCTTTTTCATTTCATTTGGTCGAAGTTGAAAAGGGTGAAGTGTTTGTTTTTAAAGATAAAAGGTTTATAGATCATAACGTAGGCATCTGTAGTAGAATAGGTAGATCAAAAGTTTGTAGTCTGTAAAAAGAAGACTATCTTTTAAGATCTGCAGACTGTTAAAATGAACTGAAATATAAATAAACTGATTTTTTAAACTTAAAAGAGTTTTGTAATATTAAGATTTAAATAATTTTAATTTTACAATACTGAAATTTAAATAATTCATACAGCTACAATAATAAATTATTTAAAATAAATTAATTCATATTTTAAAATAAATCAATTCATACTAATAAATATTTTAAAATAAATCAATACATACAACTATAATAATAAATCAATCTATATTTTAAAATAAATCAATCTATACTAATAAATTATTTAAAATAAATCAATCCATACAACTACAATAATAAATCAATCCATATTTTAAAATAAATCAATATATACTAATAAATTATTTAAAATAAATCAATACATATTTTAAAATAAATCAATCCATACTAATAAATTATTTAAAATAAATCAATACATACAACTACAATAATAAATCAATCCATATTTTAAAATAAATCAATTTATACTGATAAATTATTTAAAATAAATCAATCCATATTTTATTATAATTTACTTTAAAATAAATTATTTTATAATAAATTATTTTAAAATAAATAACCTTATTAAATTATTTAAAATTATTTTAATAAATAACCATATTTTATAATTGTTCTTGAAGAGGTTTGAAGACATAAAACCATATCTGCACCAAGAAGAGCTTCTGTCTTCTAAAAAATAACCGGTCTGCGAAGCCTAATGTCTGCGCGTGGTCTACACGACGCAGACATAAAAGGTTTGAAGAGGTGGAACGGTGAAAACAAACAGGCAAATGTTGATGCCATAGTGTGAATTGTTGTACCTGCATCCAAATGTACCATACATATCAATTCTCTATTAAACCACTTTCGAAATTCTTAAAATATTTTTAAATCTTTAAAACTTCAAAGGATTTAAAAATATATAAAAATAACATCTTTAGAAGATTATAAATGTATGATCTCTCGAAAAATCACGATTTATTGACATGATTTCTAATAAATTTAGATAGTCTATGAAAATTAAATTTATTACTATTTGATCGTATCCATCTAATCCGTTGGCCTACGTGTAATTATGATATCCTTACATTAGATACCAACAATAAGAGTTATAATAAAAATCTCTTAATCACGAGAAAAGAGAAATAATGTGATCTAATTGAAACCAATTTACCCTCACTTTTTTATCTTCTTATCTACCTCCTCATGAAGTCAGAGGACATTGATAATGATTAATCGTCTCTTATCGACTATAATTTTTATCCAAATCAAAAAAGTGAACCATCTATAACCATCGAAACGTATTCCGGGATCGATTATTCAAATCATTTATTCTTGAATTCCCCGTCTAAAAACTTGCAGCTTCCGTTATATTCAAAACACATCACAAATCTCACGTTCGAACACTTGGATATGGTAGGACTCAATGATGGATCTCACAGTGTTGTTGTGTATACCACTACTGCCTTTGAGTTCTGGGAATTTTTCCTCTTGATGTGTTCTTCTTCCTCGGACAACCCTTTCTCGTACAAAGCAACAACCTCTGGATCAAATAAAGGACCGAAACTCTGCTGCTCACTTCTACTTTTCATTGGTTTCGAGCTGAAAATAGATTAACCATTACCAAAATCAGCTCCCTCAACTCTTTCTTTGTTCTCTTTCCCACCATATTTCATCGCTTTCAATGTCGGTTCAACAACTTCATTGGACTTCTAAAGTCGTTTTCGACAACCCCTTGACGTGATTTGGAGCTGCTTCTAATAAAATCGTCTTCTTGAAGATCTTCCAAGAGTTCCCAGGCATTGATAACTGTTTGGCCCAAGGGTCTATTTTCCAAACGTGGATTTTCAATTTTGGGCTTAGATCATGAGATTCTTTGGATAACTGTATCAAACATCATTGAATTTTAGGATGTATTTATTCTAGTGAACTTTCAATTTCTCCAATTAAAAGATTGGAATGTTAAATCGGGGCAAGATGACATTGACGGGTCTTTTCGTCAATGTAATGACATGAATGAAACATCATTTTTGGAGCGTTTTGACTTAAAAATCGTAATAAAAATAAAATATTATCGATCAGTCATCATTTTTCAAATATTTTTCGATCTAACACCCTTCTAAAATAGTAAAAAGATTTTTTACTTGAAGGCGCATCACTTGAGAAGAGTTTTACCTGGGTTTTAAATTCCCTGGAAGGCATGCCCCAGAGAAGGCACATCACCTGGGGGAGAGCTTTACCCAGGTTTTGGATTCCTAGGAAGGCGTATCCCTTGAGGCCCGCCTTCCTCATTTTTTATTATTTTATTAATTAATTTTTTTATTCAATAAAGTTTTTATTATTTTTGTTTAATCATTTTTTGTATTCAATGATTTTATTATAAATTTTTTTAGTTTATATTTATTATTTATAGTTAAAAAAAAGGTAGGTGGATGTTATGATTGGATGTTAATCATATTTCGAGTCATTTTGTCAATACGGTAAAAATATGAAACTATATTATTTTCAAAATTTTAAATATCAAGAAATCGATCATATATTATTTAAATTGTTAGAATTTATTTATTACAATTACTAGATATTTGATTACTCATTTACCAAAAACTTGATGTAGAGGTACGTACGTTTTTTAATTTAAATTTTTTATTTAATTATCTTTATATAATTAAGCAAAAAAAGAAAAAAAATATTGAATAAAAAATTAATTAATAAAATAATAAAAATGGGGAAGGCGATTCCCAAGGGATGCGCCTTATAGGGAATCCAAAACTGGATAAAGCTCTCCCCAGGGGATGCGCCTTCCCAGGAATCCAAAACCAGATAAAACTCTTCCTAGGGGATGCGACTTCAAGGGGAAATCTGACAACTATATTTTCTCTCCTCCTATGACGTTTTTCACCAAACGCGCCTCCTTCTCTCTCCTCCAAAAGGGTGTTAGATCGAGAAATATTTGAGAAATGATGACTGATCGGGAATATTTTATTTTTAGGTCAAAACGCCCATTTTTGGCACAATTAATAATGCTTAAAAAGACATAATTTTTGTCACTAAAATTTAGGAGTGTACTAATGTTGTCACTAAAATTTTAAAAATTTTAGTTTTTGCCACTAAACTTTTTATTATTATTTTCATTGGCAATCAATTGTGCATTTCACCAATCCTCTTTCACAACAAGATTAGTACCAAAATATTTTCATTCCAATCTTTTTTCGTCCCCACAATTGGTTTTCCATGAAACCCATTCAAAATCGACGAAAAATAATTTAAAGGTTCAACATGTTAATACTTTGATCTCCTTCGATGGACTTCCGATGAAATTTGTTTTGAGGTATGCTATTCGTCTTCTAAAAGTAATGTTTCTTACCATTTGGATTTTCAAACAAACAACTCAAACCCCTCAAATCTAAGAAAGTTCACAAACCCCTAAAATTATTATTTTCTTGTTTAATTTCATTGATTTTGAGTGAGTTGCATAAAAAAACTAATCCTAAGAAAGGAAAGAGGAGTGGAATACATACATTTCAATACCAATCTTGTCAAAAAAGACAACCGATGACGTACAATGACTAAATATCGACGATGGTTGAAAAGGTACAGTGCTAAAAAAGTGAACTGTTTAAAAGTTTAGTGATAAAATCGAGACAATCCTAAAATTCAGCGTCTACAATGACATCGTTTTAACCATCAATTGACGCAGAAAAACGATGTTGTTTTGTCCATGTCTTCACACCGTTTGGATTTTAACAGTCCAATAATACGATTGAAGTGAAAACCAATTAAAAGTATGAAAGTCAATATAATATTTTAAAAACATTAAGAATATGAAAATGATTAAAATATACTAGTTGTATACAATAATATTAGTGGGTTAGATATCTATAATCTTTTATTTTTCTGAATCTGAATTTTTAAATATATCTAAAAATTAAGTATACTTTTATATATAATTATTGAAGCATTATTATCTAAATTTGTACTAAATATTAAAATAAACTACATCAGATATCATTTAACTTTAAACAAATTGTTTAAAACATTAAACTTTTAATTGATTTAATATTAATGATGAATTTTAATTTAAAAGCTAATTATAACATTGATTTGTTAAGTAAAAATCAATGACATAAACAATAATTTTTTTTGGTGAAAGGTATGATTTTATTAAATTAATGATACACAGGGACCTATTCCGACCCTCATTAAAAATCTTACTAATCCTAAATGGAAGAAAAGAATACCCAAAATAAGATTACAAGAGCATTAATCAAGTCGATATGGAATCCTCAGACAGAAACCTCTGGATCCATGAAGGTGGAGCATCATAAAGAACAATTTATGTATTATCCAGTCTTGCATTGTCAAAGCATCCGCTACCTTATTAATACGTAAATAATAGCTTTTTTAATATGATGATATAATTAAAACAATATCGTTTTGAGATGGTTATATTAATACTCAAAACAATGTCGTTTTAAAGTATTATATAAACCCATTAATTAAGTTTCAACTTTATTAACTTGGCAAATGTATTGTATGGGTTACTTGTAAGATTGATTAGTGCAATAAAAACAATGTCCTCCCTGTAAGGAAGATCAAGTATGGCTAGTGCAATATTTCTACACTTAATCCCAATTTTCAGGAAACTTTTTGTGAAATTCCGGCCACCACAATTGATGTATCTGGGGTGTGACTGAAACATGGTGAGAGAAGAAGAGAAAAATAAGAAAAGAAGAGAAAATTAAGAAAAAAAGATTAATATAATTATCAAAACGACGTCATTCGGACATCAATATAACCATATCAAAACAATATCTTTTTGGTCATGTCATCACGTCACATCACTGCATTTTCGATTAATAGCCCAATTTTATAAATGAAGTTTAAACGAAATTTTGATGTTAGAATTGAAAAAGTTAAATGTATAAACGATATACTACCTAAAATTAAGTGATATTTAAAATAGATTATCCTAAATACTATTATTCATCGGGCATCTGAATCCACAATGAACTAAATTTAATAGTTTAAATTATATGTCAAATATTCGAATCATCTAACGAAAGCTTATGTCTCTTTAGAAATAAACGTATTTTTCATTTTATAATCCACAATCAAATTTAAATATTCAAATTTGAGCTCACATAAATAATATGGATTAAAATAACAAATACTTGAAGACATATTTATGTGTCTACCTCAAATGGACAACACATAATAATTTTAATATTTAGATCTAAATATTATCTGCAACTATGGAAAATAAATCAAATATTCAAATCCACAATTTAAATTATTGATCTCTAATCATATATATTACAGACAGAGAGAGACATGATTCAAAGGTTTAAATGCAAGGGAGTGAGGCATATGCATGAATTTGATGGATGTTTCTGTTTCTATGTGAAGGTTGAAGAAACAAGAAAAGACACATCACATGCATGGCTACATTGCTTCTCAATTTACTTACATTTTAATGACAGTTAATTAGTTTTAATTCTTCCATGCACGCCCATTATTTAACATAATCTTCACTATTTACAAAGGTCAAGGTCAAGAATATGCCAATCCTCTAATTTCTATCCAAATATATATGAAAGACCATCCAACACTAAATTTATGTTTAATCTGCTCCATATATATAGATTCTTCTATCACATAATATATATGATGTCATAATTGAATCTTTGAGTGATCTTAGTAATAAAAGATAGCGTTGTTCTTTCTTGAAGATTCGGGTTCGAACATCATCTGCAGAGAGTGTGTACATTGTTAATGATTGAGAAAATCTGAACAAATAATCATCTCAAACTATTTAAAAAATAATATAATTATGCACATAATATAATTATACCCTAAAAACAAAGTCCACCTGTTATTTGATTAATAATTTATATCCAATCTTTAGGATGATATTACGATATGTATAGAATAAGCTGAAACATTGATGGAAAATATATTTTGTCCATATTTACCTATATCCTTAATTGCACCAAACATCAAGCTATCAAATTCAAAGTTCCAACTCCTTTTATCTAATGAATGAACCACTCATACGCTTCTCATTATTTGTTTCAGCCCCAATTACTTCTTCGATTTTTATTTACCACCATCTTAAGTAGAGAAATTACAAGTTTTAACATCATTTGAGATATGTTTAAAGATGATTTTAGCTCTTAATATTATATTTTTGGGAGGTTCTAATGTTGTTGTTAGAGATGAATCCTCGATCGAGTCGAGTAAATTTTTTTAAGTTATTCTTGTTGACGAGTCATATTTTATAACTCAGGTTTAATTTGAAATTTTTTTGAGTCAAGTTTATGAAATTTGATTCAAGTCAAGTTATTTGAGTTTATGTTTAAATTTAATTATAAATGTTTATAATATTAATTAATTATGATTTAAATAAATTTATATAACCATATACAATATATATATGCATTTATTTATTTATCATACATAGGCTTTAAAATATTTAAATAAATGTTATTTAAAAAAATCATTTGACCATGTTATTTATTAATCAAGATTATTAAGTTTACAATGAAAAATGATCCGCTATATTGAATTCAATACCACGTGGGCAGACCATATATTTTGCCAAGTTGGCTAATCTTTACGTGCATATGTTAATTCCCGAGTTTAGTCTATTATTAATGATGATAAAAAATTCATAATTACCATAAGTAATGTGCTTGTTTCAAAATTCTTTTTACCCAAGTATTTGACTTTGGGATTATATTAATTACTACTTCATTATCTTAGGTTTAAGTTTATTAATTATGAATTTTAGTTATTACCTACATAGTATTATTTAGCTTAATAATTTAAGGAATAGATCTAAGGTTAAATATATTATAAATCTACATTTTCATATATTTGGAATCTAATCCATGACTTATATTTTTAAAAATCTAATTTATTTTTTTAAATTAAAATTCAAATCTAAAAAATAAGATTATTAAAATGTTCATGTTAAATTGATCTTTACGATATCGATTTTAATAATATAATTACCAAAAAAATCTGATATTCAAAATTTTTTATATTAAATTTAAATTTATCAGAATGAGAGTAAATCCTATTTTTATCTTCAAAATTCCAGATCGCCAAATAATAATAAAAAATAATTTATAAGATTAGATCTCATAAAACAAACAACTGCAGTGGTGGAGTGAGTAGTGAAGAAGGTTGAAAATTGTCCCTCCAAATATCAATTTCTGACTCTATTTTCAGCAATAAAATGAAGTTGCCTTCGTAAACAGATCTTCTCCAAAACTTCATCTCTTTTCTTTTCTAGGTTTAAGCCTCCGAATAATGCCACAGTGCAATTTGGAAACCCTCGTTTCCCCCTGCGACAACAATATTGTCTGCGAGACACTAACAACCACTGAAGGCGACTCCTCCGGAGGCCGCCTCCACAAGGCGGAGAAGCCTCTCGAAGAAGACATCCCACCGGATTTCCCTCCAGAATCGTTTTTGCTAACCAAAGACGCCGAGCTCGATTGGGTCGACAGCTACGCTTTTTACGAACGGAAAAACTCGCAGAAACGAAACTCTTTTTCCAACTCCAAAAATCTTAATCCTAATCTGAACTCAGTTCCCAATTCTCAACGCTTTTCTTTGAGGAAATCTAAACCTTCCATCCTTGGATTATCGAAACTACAGAAATCTTGCTTCGCGGACGCGAAGAACAGGAAGAGTAGTAAACCTGAAAATTCTAGACTGTTTCCGCAACGGTCCGGCTCAGTTAAATCGGATCCGCCCGTCGTGGAACCATCTTCGCCTAAGGTTTCTTGTATGGGAAGAGTGAGATCGAAACGAGACCGCAATCGCCGATTAAAAAAGAACCGCCAAAAATCGGCCGGAGTTGAAACAGTTAAAAAGAAAACCACAAGAGCAGGAAGCGGATTCTTTTCAAGTTTTCGCGCCATATTTGGGTGCAATGGTAAAGCACGTGAACCTCACACTTTTCCAGAAACGGTGTCGTCGCCAGGGGACAGTAGTATCAGGTCTCGATTGCCGGCGGATGCAGGTGACGCCACATTAAGTTCAGGGACTGGAATAGCGGAGAGTGGACCGGTCAATATAGGTGGAATGAAGCGGTTCGCGTCTGGTAGGAGAACCGAACCAGCTTGCTTAGTAGGTGGTGGGCCATAGGAAAGGGTATGTGGTCGTGGCGGGTAACTTGTGGGTCCCTCCTGGTGCTTCAAATTTCTCCCGTGGTGACGTGGAATGATTATCAACGCTTTGTGGAGGTAAAAACACTGTTTCAACGTTTTCTTGAAAATTTGATTTGGTTTTATAGTTTTGTAGATATATTTGGATTGTTTTGTAATTTTAATAAAACTTCAAAAGAATCGTGTGAAATTTATACTCCTTATCACATTTTCTAGGTATTTAATGTTGTTTTTTTTCATGTTAATTTGATCATAAAAGTTATAGAATTTATTGCATTTTAAAATCTTTTATTTTAAAAGGGTTTAAATTAAATACTTAATATTAGAAATGAATAAAAAAAAATGATCCATTAAACAAGGCTCCTATCTTCCCTTGATTTTCTCTATATTTTATATAAAATTTCACCTTTGTTGTTATAAAACCTGGTTTATTGTCATTATCATATAAAAAAAACTTTTTATTGAATTGACTATACAAATTAATTAATATTAATTCAGTTAAAAAGACTGAAACTAATAAAGTTTTATTTAATTTTCTCATTGCTGCTCTCAATCATTTGTTGATTTATTTATAAAAAAACCATTTATATGGTTTTTCTCTTTTTTATAGTCTTTTTTGTAATATAATTTATATATACAAGTAGCATCAGACTCAAATATTGTTAAACTCGACTCGAAAAAATTAAAATTGAACTTTATTGGACTAGAAAACTTGCAAACATAAATTTATCAAGCTCAACTCGAAAACTCGACAGTTCAAAATTATCAAACTCAACTTGAATTTGAAATAAAAAAATTAAAACAAGCTCGAAAAAACTTGAAGCATACTCAGACTTGGCTCGATTGAAACTCAAACTCAAACTCAGTTCAAGCTCAAATTTAAACTTAAGTATATGAAAAACTTATTATATTTAAAAAACATATAATCATTAATACTAATAATAATTTAGTTTTAAAAGTTAAAAAATTTATATATATTATTTTTTTAAAGTTGTTTGCAAACTTTTAAATTCGGATATAGAGTAATCCGCTTCAGCTCGTTTAAAGCTCGAGTTGAGTTCAAACTCAATTATTTCTATTTGATGTGAATGCGACCAAACTTTAATTTAATCAAATTTGAATAACTAGAGATATATCTCTGATTTAAGTCCCTATGTAGAGGAGGGCCTTCATGCTTTAAAGTCGGTTACAATTTTGCAGTCTCCGCATCTTAAGTACTCAAAATCTGCCTCCATATGCGGAAATTGTTGACTGCTAAGGTGGATGTTTGACTGGTTTAGTGATGTTATTAACTCTGAAAATGACTAATTTTCTTCACACGTCATTTCATGATAATAAAAGAAATAAACATGTTAATGATCTTTTGGAGAATAATTCCGGACGTCTTCAAAATGTAATAAAACAAGAACTTAATATCCATCTCACCCTTCCCATTCGACCAATCATTGCAAATCCTGCCGTCAATGTCTGCAACTCCCACAAAACAAAATTATTTTTGAACATTTCATAGAGAGAAACAAAATCTATTATAAGAAAGTTTACCAACCGTCAATAGACCAAGTGATAGCATGAAAGGAACACTTCCATCACCAAGAACACAATAGAACACACATATCAAAGGGGGACATAGCATACTAAGTTAGTAAGAAACAAAAGCATACGCTTGAAATTTCGAGATATCTTATATATGAATCAGCCTGGAGGAGGAAGTAATCGAGCCATGTTTCACAAGTAACTCAACCTAGAAGAACTAAGGAAACAGATGTTACAGTAGGAGGAGAAGAGCGTGGAAATGACAAAGAAATTGGGAGAAGAGGAGGTCAAGGGTTAGGGATTGTTGTTGGAGAATTGGGGATCGAGGGAAGAGAGGGGTTTGAAATTGGGGATTTAGGGATTAAAGTAATGAATGAAGTATCTCTTTTCTGTAATCTCTAATTCTAAATTTCTTCTTCTCCTCGAATCCTTTTCTACTTCTCTTAACTATAGCAATTGGTAATCAGAGCTACGATTCTGGCAAAATTTTTGAGGGCATGCCAAAGAAGAACCAATCTATGGCAGAAACTGATTTAGCTGGAATTCAGAAACATATTGAAGATCTTGCTGCTTTGGTGAAACAAGGCCAAAATGAGACTAATCCACCTAAATGGTGGGAGACTTAGGAAAACATGATTACTGCACTGGAGGCAAGGATGACCACGAATCACAGTTATATGGAAGATATACTGAAGATCTTAACTGGCAGAAATGTTGAACAAGAGCAGTCTGCAAGGGATCAGGTATACACTCCTAATAGCTCTAAAAATGGGGAGAAAAATCCTGTTTTGGTGACTGTAGTTAAGGATAAATCTAGATTCTCTTATAAAACTGATGATCTTGGGATTTTGAAGGATAAGCCTGATGCTTGTTTAGCCCTTAAGAACAATTCTAGGCCTGAGAATCAAATGGGTGAAAACAGTAATAATAGACCTGTTATGCTGGGACTGGAAATTGAAAATAGGGGACCAAGGGATTCATTTAGCAGTTCAGGGACTATGTGGCATAGACCCAAAATAGAGTTGCCATTTTTTGAGGGGGTAAATCCTAGGGGGTGGCTGCAGAAGTGTCTCAAGTATTTTTCCTTATGCAATGTTTTTAGAGATCAAAGGGTAGAAGTGGCTACTATGTATCTTACAGGAAAAGCAGAAATATGGTTTGATGGCTATATTATGCAGAAGCATCATGTAACTTGGCATGAGTTTGAAGCTGATTTGTGCCATAGATTCAGTAATAGGTCTTTTTCTGACATTGTGGAGGAATTCACTAAACTTACACAGAAAGGATCTGTTGAAGACTATAAAGAAAGGTTTGAAGAGTTACAACCATACATGCTATTACAAAATCCTACCTTGAGTGAGGATTTCTTTGTGTCACTTTTTATAAGTGGGCTTAGAGATTACATCAAACATAGAGTGAAAGCTCTAGATCCTAAGAATTCATCTGAGGCATGCAAAAAGCTAAGCTCTATGAGTTGTCTGTGGAGTTTGAAAATAGAAGGTTGAGACATTCCTTTAAAATCCCACCCTACCCAAACCCCAATAATACTCCCAATCCAAATTCAATTCCACTGCCTATGAAATCCTCACCAAATTTCAACACTAAATAGACTCTCATTGATTATAGAAGACAAAACAACCTTTGTTTTGAGTGTGGAGAAAAATTTCAACCAGGCCATCAATGTAAAACAAGAAACCTCAATATGATGATTGAAGAGGAAAATCCTATTCCTACAGAATCTGTTCCTACTGATTCAGACCAACAGCTACTACAAGAAGAGGAAAACTTAGAGATATTTATGAATGCTATTACTGGTTGTATTAGTCATAATACTTTGAGGATTCAAGGAACAATACAAGGCAGACCTTTGAATATTTTGATTGACAGTGGAAGCACACATAGTTTTTTGACACCAGAATGGGCTGATGCTGGAATTCAAGTTCTAACTCCCTATCCTTTAGCTATTACAGTAGCTAATGGCCAACAGCTCTATAGTTCAGCTAGATGCAACAAGGTGGAGTGACAGATGCAAGGACACTCTTTCATACATGACTTTAGACTTCTTAAATTGGGAGGCAGTGATATTGTTTTAGGGGTTGATTGGATGAAACTATCTAGTCCAATTTTAATGGACTTCAATCAAATGACAATGAGTTTTCAGCATCAAGGTGAAAACATTGTTATACAGGGACAACAACCTTCACTGCTGTTGCAGCAGATTTCAGGTGCTACTTTATTAAAAATGACAGCATCTGAGGCAACTATTTTGGGACATGTGGTTCTGCTGAGTATGACTGAAATTCCTAAGTCAGTTCCTGCAGCTCTCAAACCTCTTTTAAAGAGGTATAACTCTGTTTTTTATGAGTCTAAAGGATTACCTCCTACAAGGACTCATGATCATGTTATTTCCCTCAAACCTGGTTCTAGTCTTGTTAATTTGAGGCCCTACAGATTTTCTCATAACCAGAAGACTGAAGTAGAAAAGCAGATTGCTACAATGTTATCATCTTCTATTATTCAATCTAGCAAGAGTCCCTTTTCTTCTCCATGCCTTTTGATAAAGAAAAAGGATAGGACTTGGAGGTTTTGTGTTGATTACAGACAATTGAATAATCTGACAGTTAAAGATAAGTTTCCTATTCCTGTGGTGGAAGATCTATTAGATGAGTTATATGGTGCAGTTTATTTTTCCAAGATTGACTTAAGGTCAGGGTATTGGCAAATCAGAATTAAAGAGGAGGATATCTACAAACCAGCATTTAGAACTCATCAAGGGCATTATGAATTCAAGGTAATGCCTTTTGGTCTTACTAATGCCCCTGCTACATTTCAGGCATTAATGAATGATTTGTTTAAATCATTTCTTAGAAAGTTTGTTTTGGTGTTCTTTGATGACATACTAGTCTACAGTAATTCTATGGCTGAACATATTACTCATTTGCAATCAGTTTTGGAGGTTTTGAAAGCCAATCAGTTATTTGCAAAACTGTCCAAGTGTTTTTTTGAACAGACCCAAGTAGAGTACTTGGGACATATTATTTCTACAGCAGGAGTAGCAACAGATCCTAGTAAGATAGAAGCTATGAAGAATTGGCCTATTCTTAAATCTTTAAAGTCCCTGCGTTGATTTTTGGGTTTAACTGGTTATTACAGGAGGTTTATTAAAGATTATGGTTCCATAAGTAAGCCTTTGACTCAACTGCTTACTAAGGATAATTTTCAGTGGACCACTGCAGCTTTAAATGCTTTTGAATTGTTAAAACAGGCTATGTGTGTTGCTCCAGTGTTGGCCTTACCTGATTTTAGCAAAAGTTTATGTTTGGAAACATATGCTAGCTCAGGAGGAATTGGTGGTGTGTTATCTCAAGAGGGCAGACCTATTGCTTATCTCAGTAAGGCCCTAAGTCCTAGACATGTTGTCCTCTCTATCTATGAAAGGGAGTATCTTGCTATTTTACTAGCAGTTTCCAAGTGGAAGCATTACTTAGAGAGTAAGCCTTTTATTATTAAAACTGATCATGAGCCACTAAAGTATTTATTGGAGCAGAAATTGACCACCACAATTCAAAAGGAAGGGTTGACTAAATTACTGGGGTTGGACTATACTGTTCAATATAGAAGGGGGAAATCTAATACTGTAGCAGATGCTTTGTCAAGGCAATGCGAAGATAATGGTCACTGTTTGGCTATGGGAACTACTTTGCTTATTCCTAGCTGGGTACATGAAGTTGAAACAAGCTATAAGGATGACAGATTGGCTGCTGATTGGATCAGATTATTATCTGTGACACCTACTGCTGCTCCTAATTGGACATTTTCAAAAGGGGTACTCAGATTTAGAGGCAGAGTTTACATTGGATCTACTGGGTCTCTTAGACTCCAAATTCTTTAAGTTTAACATGATTCTCCTCATGGAGGTCATTCTGGGACTCAAGCTATTTATCAGAGAATTAGATCCTATTTTTATTGGCCTAGGGTGAAAGCTATGGTAGTCAACTATATAAGATGATGTACAGTTTGTCAGCAAACTAAGGTTGAACATATACCTAAATCAGGACTGCTACAGCCCCTTTCTATTCCTCACCAAGCTTGGGAGGTGGTTACTATGGATTTTATTGATGGCTTACCTACTTCTTTGAGAAAAAACTGTATATTGGTTGTGGTGGATAAATTCACAAAATATAGTCATTTTATGGCATTGTCCCATCCTTATACTGTGGTTGAGGTGACTAAACTCTATCTTGATAATGTTTACAAGTTACATGGTCAACCTAAAATAGCTACTTTAGATAGAGATAAAACATTCACTAGTCTCTTTTGGAGTGAATTAATGAAGCAGCTTGGAACTACTACACTGTTCAGCACAGCTTACCATCCTGAGACTGATGGTCAGACAGAAAGGGTAAATCAATGTTTGGAGCAGTATTTAAGGGGCTTATATTTTTTTTCAACCTAAGCAATGGGCTAAGTGGTTGCCTCATGCAGAGTGGTGGTACAACACTACCTACCACACTGCCCTAAAAATTATACCTTTTCAGGTATTGTATGGTTACAAGCCTTCTACTATGGTTTGGCAAACAAATTCTAATGTACAGTCAGTTACTGATTTAATGAGAAGCAGAGAGGACATTAGACAGTTAGTAAAGCTACAATTGGAGAATGCAAGCAACAGAATGAAACAGAAAGCAGACAAAAACAGAACAGAGAGAGTTTTTATAGTCGGGGAGACAATTTACCTGAAGTTGCAATTATATCGACAGACTTCCTTGGCCCTGCGAAAAAATTTAAAGTTAGCAGCAAAATTTTATGGCCCTTATAAAATTATTGAGAAAATTGGGGAAGTTGCGTATAGATTAGACTTACCTGAATCATCACATCTACATCCAGTCTTTCATGTGAGTCTTTTAAAAAAACACATCAGGCCCTCGGCAGTCTCTTCAACGACTCCTCCTGAAATGGACGAAGGACAAATGAGAATAGAACCTTATAAAGTGATGGGCAGAAGAATTATCAACAGACAAAACAAACCTGTTACGCAGTTGCTGGTGCGATGGAAGAACCTTGATGAAACCAATGATACATGAGAAGATTATACTGTTTTGCGAGGGCAGTTTCCAGGCTTTGATCCTTGGGGTCAAAGATTGATTCCAGCGGCGGGTATTGTTATAGTAGGAGGAGAAGAGCGTGGAAATGACGAAGAAATTGGGAGAAGAGGAGGTCAAGGGTTAGGGATTGTTGTTGGAGAATTGGGGATCGAGGGAAGAGAGGGGTTTGAAATTAGGGATTTAGGGATTAAAGTAATTAATGAAGTATCTCTTTTCTGTAATCTCTAATTCTAAATTTCTTCTTCTCCTCGAATCCTTTTCTACTTCTCTTTAACTATAACAACAGACTTTATAGAAGGCCACTTGAAAAAAAGAAAAGAATAAAAGAAAAACAGAAAGCAACTACACGATACATTGGTATAAAAACAGAGGACTACAATTGTGTATCAAGCATAGATATACCTACAAATATGATCCATTGATTAACCTAGAAATAGAAGAAACACAACCGTAGTGTATAGATGTAACCACACATACCATATTTTTCAACCAGATACTTTATTATTTCATCTGATTCATACATGGCAACGCCCGTATTCGGATCCACCTGAAACCAGAAACAAATGTTCCAAGTCGAACTCCCACTTTACATCACAATTTTCAATGCCAATTCAATGGCTGTTTAAATACAAACATAAGTGCAAATCTCAAGCACAAAACCATGGGAAAAAGTGAAGGCTAAAACAAGGAAAAAAGCCCTTGAACTTTACCTTTTCTCGTAATTAAGCCCTTGCACTCTTATTCCATCCAAATAAGGCCTCAGCCTTTAGTTGAAGATTAGGAGTTTATTCAGGTACAATAAAAGCACAAGGTCTTACCTCAAATAACGGTGAAATTCAGGGGCTCATATATATTATTTTAGTTAATGGTAAACTAAGCAAGAAGATCTGGAGCAGAGGAAAGAAATAGTATCCAATCATGTAGGGGAACCGCTGCTTTACACCCATCTCAGCAACCTTGCGACGAAAATTTGGACAATTTTTGGAGCAAGGATAAAACAGAACATCGAGATCCAAAACTACAACAATTTCCCTAACCTGTACATTAGTAAAACGTTGATCTAAAACATGAAGTTCGGCTATTAAGATTTCAGTAATGTGTTAAGAGGAACACGTTAGAGTTTTATCATGAAACTTTCTTCATGCTTCGTGACTAGTTCCAACTAAAGACTTATTAGGAAAATTAGAGAAGCATAGTTTAATACAAGTCCCATTTGGGGAAGTATAGCTATCCCCAATTAGAACCATGATCCCTGTTATCTTCTGGTCATATTAAACGGTATGTGTATTGTTGGACGCGATTGAAGTAGAAAAAGACCAAAATAGAAGCGGATTATTAACTACCTTTCGACAAATGGACAACTGGAGTAGCAGGAAGTCCGCACCATCCATTATTTTATGGAAAAAAGAAACACACAAGAATCAATCTACATAAGAATATAAACATGGAAAACCGAAGAGTAGAATAAAGGGTAAAAAGGTTATCCACATTGAATGATAAAGGAAGTCGACAATTAGTACAAGCATTAGACGGGAGAAAAAACAAGGGGAAATTAAGCAGTAAGTACCCTTCAAACTCGTATATCTCAATAGGTTTCTGTGGACGAGGGCCTATCTTTGATGTCTCTTTTACCTTAAAGCCTGTTAAATAAAGCTATCATCAGCTCAACATTCAGCTATTAAATTTGAAACTGTTTAAAATGAAAGCTTTGCTTCCTGATGGAAATTCAGACTCCGATCAGATGTTTGACAAAATGTCGCAGATAAACAAGGAAATGAAACCAAAGAAAAATGAATCGTACCTCCTAATTCTAAACAATATAGTCCAGGTGGAATTTCATTCTCAGAAACAATGGATGCGGAATAGCTGCCACAGATACAAGATTGTTAGTCATCTAATAGTCCAATTCAATGCCATTGATATGAATCATTAAGCGAAGTGCCGCAACTACAGCCTATACGAATATTTTACTCGTAAACACTGATTACAACAAATTTTGAGTCCAGTAATTTAACTTGATAATCTTCAATCTTGCCATTTACAACTATTTCAACCTCATCCCAGTTCTCACATAACTAATTCATTCCACTTACTATCAACCCTTAGAATCCCACCATTGAAATTAACAAACAAATGAAGAAGAAATGGAAAGAAGGGATAATACCCAGAAACAAAAACCCCAGATCCGAACCGGAAGAACAAGGCAAGAGCCGCCCCAGCAATCTCCAAAGTCTTGTCGGGTCTAACAGCAAGCCGCTTTGGCTCTGGCGCCTTTAAGTCCGGAGGAGGAGCAAACGTTGTTGCTGCCAGCGAAGAAGAAGAAGCGGAGCCTGGGTTCTCTTCTTCCTTGGTACTGATTTGGGAATTCGATGACTCTAAGGAGGCTTTAATGGAAACAAAAGGCGCCCTAGATTGCTTACGCAATGGAGATGGCGAGAAAAGAGGGATTCGGGGGATGTTAAGGTTAAGAACTCCCACCACCATCTTGTTTTACAGTGTAAGGTCTTCGTTTGCAGTTCGTGTTTTCAAGAGTAATCAATTGTGCTTTTCTTTTTCTGTGGGGTGGAGGAGTGGCTGTTGTGAAACCAGAAAAATGGGGAATCCATTGGTGTCGTAGTTGTTTTAAGTTGGACAAGATAAAGACCGCGAAAGGTTAGGCAACAAGTACATCGTCTTGAATGTGATTGAATGCTGTGATTTTTATTGCCAAAAAGAAATCGTCTAAAATATTCATGATAATTCTTAAAAATCTAGTTTACTATGTCGAGGGATACAAAACAGATACAAACACCGAAAAGGTCAGGCAACCACCACCACCCTGGGCTAGGCTGGGGATTTACCCAGAAAAACAAAACTGGAGAGCTAGTTTAGGCAGTTTCGGGTCTCTCTTGTACGATGGCTCCCTTCGCTTAGGAGTTCAATATATGTACTGCTGCACAGTGACGATCTAAAAGTCATTTTTTTTAAGGTGGGCATATATAGACCACTTAATTATAGTCATTTTAATTTTGACCATTATTTTTAATTTTTTCAACTAGGTCACCCAAGTATTTAAATTTATTCAATTGGGCCACTTGCCGTTAATATTTAATGGAAGTGTTGATGTGACAGTTAATAGAATTAGTATAATTACACATTTGATCTCTAATATTTATACATTCTTTCAATTTGGTTATAATTTTAATTTAATTTAATAAATATAACATTCAATTTAATGGTAACATGCGCCACCACCTTATTGAATACAAAAAATTGTAAAGAAATAAAAATAAACTTGTAAGGGTATGGACCAACGACCTACGACTCCCCCACTTCCCTGGGCATGTCTAAACCATTAGGCAAAGCCCCTTACTTGGTATTGGTTAACGACGTTTTATATATAAGTTGTTATAACGAATGACAAAAAAAAAAAAAAAAAAAAGGAAATAGGTTCAATGGTCTCTACCCATTGAAGGTTGGATTTGTCTTAATACGGATGGTGCCTACTCAAAGTTCACCGGCCGAGGTTCCATTGGTGGGCTTCTTCGCAACAATTCTGGCGAATGTCTATTGGGTTTTTGCAGAGATATTGGCATCTCTTCGATCCTTGAGACAGAGTTTTGGGCCATCCTTTTCGGACTTCAAATCGCCTAACATTATGGTTATGAACGTATTGTGGTGCAAACCGATAGCATGGACGCTTATCATCTCATTTCCCCTCCCGCCTTGACGAGCCCTTTCGCTCTTGTTCGTTCCATCGCGAACCTCTGCAATCGCGCTTGGTACGTGGAATTCCAAAAGATACCTATGGAGGCAAATGCCGCTGTCGATTTCATTGCAAAGATGGATACTCCTTCAGATGGTTCCCAGATTAGTTTTGACCAACCTCCGGCTCCCCTCCATGTCCTTCTCCATAGAGGTGCCTTTGGTCTCCCTATGATTGTATAACAAGATGATGTAATGGCTTCGGCTCCCTTTACCATTTAAAAAAAAAAGAAATTAATATGCTTGTGGTAGGATTTAAGAGGAAGTGGTAGCATTTTGGTGAAATTTACAATATTATATATAATCATTAAATTGAGTTTTTTTAAAAAGTAAAAAATAAAATTTAGATTTTTTATATTTTAAACTATATTTATATTTAATTTTATTTATTTATATATAATCATTAAATTAAATTTTTCAATATAATTAATAAATTTAATTTAATTTATTGATTATATATAAAGATTATTAATTATGTTAAAAATTAAAATTATACTTTGATTATATAAAAATAAATATAGTTTAAAATCTAAATTTAAACTTTGGTGAAATTAATTTTCAAATTTATTATTATTTTAAATATTATATTAAATATATTTTAAAATGAATATATTTATTAAATGTGTTAGCGTATAAATATTATATTTTCTACCCTTTTACTCATAATTATTGTTAGACTTAGGCTATTTTAGTTACATTATTAGTCATTCATGCATGATTTCATAGTTTCCTTCACCGTTAAGTTGATATTACATTTTGGTTGGTTTTTGTGGAAAAGACATTGTTGGTGTATGTTAATTTGTGCAGGTTAGGGATTGCCTTGGCAAGTACGAATTGCCATGGCATTAGAAGCTGATTTCTAATAAGAACGACAAACAAGGAAAGAATCCTAAAAATCTGGAAATCCACGCAAACTTTAAGTAGATAAAGGAATCTGATTTGCAAGGAGTTTGAGGATAAAGATAAAATAGAATTATGACCTCTTTTATTCCAACTAAAACTCATCCTCATTAACAACCAATTTGACCTAATTATCTCCTATAAATATCAATCAAATCATAATTTACGAAGGTGGCCGATTGGAGAGAAAAACTAAGGGCTGAGCGCACTCATTCTTCATTGTTTTCTTTTCAATTCATGTTTGGAATTTTTATCTTGTATTTCTTTTGCACCCAACCATGAAATAAACTAAATTGGCTTGGGTTATTGGGTTTTTATGGTTGTGAAAATGTTTGGATTTGTTTAAGTTCTTTTATTGCAGTTTAAATTCAAAGTTTGTTCATTCTTGGTTCTCAATTTGATTTCGAGTGAATTGGGAGAGGATCTTGAGAATTATCTATTTATCTAATATCGAGAGAGTTAGATTCAAGAAACGAATGAGCATGATCTTCATTCTAACAAAAATTGGTGAAGGTTAATCCATATTAGGGATGAGATTAAGATTTCAACGGCTAAAAGAAGTGCAAGCTCTGTTATTTTTTACACATGGTTAACGTAGGGATGTATCACCAAGGCATGCACAATTAACTAGTCCTTTAGGTTAGGGATAATAAGAAGGCATTGAAGAACGCTTCGTCGAGCTTTAAAGGGAGAAATCCAGTTACTACGATAATTGAATTATTCTCAGTTGTCACGACAATCGAGTTGCCCTAGAAATCAATTGTTCAGACTATTCATACAGTCATCACACCACAACTCACGATAACTCGGCCTGCTCTTTTATTCGATCACAATCTTCTTTTATTTACTTGCATCTTTATTTTACTTGTTAATTCAAACTTCTACTATCACCATTTTATTCTTTTTATAGTGCAAGATGTTATAACATAGAGTTACACCAATCCTTATAGAGAAAATATCTATTCTATACTATAACTTGCGACGTGTATACTTACACCAATTGCGAAGCACTGAAATCACGCAACAAGTGTTTGAGGCCATTGCCAGGGATTGGCAATAACGACTTTGATTTTTATTTCTTGTACCTTAATTATTATTATTATTCTTTTTATTTTTTTCTTTTCGGATTCAAGGGGTTTAAAATTTGTGGTTTTGCATCTGTGTATGACTAGGACGAGACCAACATCACTAGAATATCCATTTGAACCCAAAATAGAGCGATTTTTTCATAGAAGAAAAAATGAGTAATGAGTAGTAATGAGAGACCAATTCTTTGATCCAATTGGCAACCCAAATGCCTAAGCAAGATGAGAAAGAGCTTTAGTAGAGCGAACTATTCAAGTAAGGAATAGACTAATCCGAGACTACTTAGAGGAAGATCTCAACGGTCTCAATCCAAGAGTTGTCACACCAGAAATAACACCACATACTTTGAATTAAAACCAATAATGTTCAATATGATCAACACAATTTGTCAATTTGGCAGATCGAGAACAGAAGATGCCAGACAACATCTCAAATCATTCCTGGAAATTTGCAATCCATTTAAGCAACAAGGAGTCCATGAGGATGTCCTAAGGCTAAAATTATTCCCCATTCACTAAGGGATAGGGCAAAATTATGGTGGAATAGTATCCTTTCCATATCTCTAAAATCTTGGATAGATTTATGCCATGATTTCCTTGCTAGATTTAGTTCTATAAATATGACTAATAAATTACTTAACAATATTACTTTTTTTGGCAGGCATATGATGAATCCATGTGCGAGGCTTAGGAGCGATATAGAGAGCTTTTACGTAAATGTCCCATGCACAGATTCCCATTATGGACGCAAATGGCGTTGTTTTACAACTCAGTGAATATACCAGCTAGAATGATGCTAGATGCTTCAACAAATGACATACTCCTCGACAAGTCATTGGACATTATCAATTCCCAACTGCTAGAAGAGGAGGAGTCTGACGTAATGCCATGATAAACGAACTTGACTCATTGGACATTATTTCTGTTCAGTTGGCTACCTTAACCAACTTGGTAAAGAATATGTTGTAACCAAGCAATCCAAAGAAAATCAATCTAGTAAATTCCTTTTGCGAGTATTTTGACAGTAACCATTATTCATTTGAGTGTCTGCATAACCCATAAGCTAGCTTATATATTGGAAACTACAATTGAAACAACAATGTGATGTCTAGCACATACACTCCAGCCTGGATAGAACCCCCTAATTTCTCATGGAGCAACCCAAACAATGCTCTTAATCAGAACAATCAAAATACACAAGCATATAGATTCTAACAGAACATGCCAAGCCAACAGATGTGCAACAACAATCAACACTATCTAGTTCTTTGGAAAATTCTCTCAAATCTTTTATGTTAAAAAATGAATCTTACATGGTTGAGAATAATAGTTTCATGAAAATGAGTGATGCCTTTATTAACAGGACTGAGATTAGACTGCAAAACCAAGAGGTAACTTAAATCCTTAGATACACAGGTTGGACAATTTGCCTAGATTTTGAACACAAGACCACTAGGAGGTTTACCCAGCGATACTGAGGTCGAAAATGAATTAGGTTATGAGCAATATAAGGTAATCACAACCCGAAACGGACAAAAACTAACCGAAACCCCTGCTAACCTACGGAGGGAACTCAACCAGCAGAATAGACCCATGATTAAAAAGATGCATCCAATAATAATGCCCTAGTCGATATTTATGAATCGATGATTACCCAGGCAAGTCGACATGCCTCGACAATTCCAATTGCCACGACAAGTCCATCAATCAAATTTTAAACAAATGGAAAGGTTGAAGAGACCTAAATTCCACCATAATTTCCTTAGAGGTTGAAAAAGCAGAAACAAGAATACTAGTTCAAGAAATTCTTAGACATCTTAAAGCAAGTCCCCATAAATTTACCGTTGGCTGAGGCAATCGAGCAAATGTCGAACTATGCTAAGTTCCTTAAGGACATTGTCTCTAAGAGAATGAGGCTAGGAGAGTTTGAAACAGTTGTTGTGACGGAGGGCTGCATGGCCATGTTGCACAATCGAATGCCACACAAACTAAAAGATCCTGTTAGTTTCACAATACTACGTGCAATCGAAAATTGCTACCTCGTGAAGACATTATACGATACTAGAGTGAAGATAAACCATATGCCCAAATCTATGTTCTAAATATTTGGTATCGGGAAAGTGAGACCTACGACAGTTATACTACA